TCGAATAATATGTGTCTGTGAACTTTCCGCTTGTGGGTAAAATACTGCCTAAATTGTGTTTACTTTAAGTCGATGACTCTCATTTTATAACGATTTGTTTCTGACTAATTATTGTAGCGCACCTACGAGTGCATAGTAATAAATAAATAAATAATTAATTAATTAGCATATGCCACCAACGCATAGAACAAAGAAGTCTTTGGCTCCTTTGCCTCTTATTGAGGTGATCGAATGCCAGGACTATATATTGCAGTCGCACCCACCCATGACAGGTTATGGATGGTCTGGTGCATTGTTGTGGAAGATGGTCAATGCCGGGCACATTTCTACCTTTAGAAATTTTTCGGTGCGGGTATAGTGTAGATATTTTTGCGTACTTTAGAAGGTCTGCTAGATGTAATGTCGAGCGGTGATTCGATTAGTTCGCAGTTCAAAATTATTTACTATCGTTACTCATCAACCTCCAACGGGGAGATCGTTGCTAGAAGTACCCGCTAATGTGGATTCCTCACCTTCCTAGATCTAATCGCACGATAAAGAATTTCGCTGGTAAAAGGACCAAAGTTGACGAAGGAGTTCAAACTGAATTGAATGAAGGAATTAATTGCATATAATCTTGTAGAGAAATGTTGATGTGAAGGGAGCTTTGAAATGAAGATTTCATTTGAATAGAAGCACTGAAAATTTGAAATTGAAATTGAAAATTGATTGTAAATTGAAACACTGAGCTTGTAGTTGTGCTTTCGAAAAGAATTGAAGCAAGAAACTAGGGAGAGCTGGTGTAGTGGCAAATGGGAGACGGTGCGGGCGTCAAATCACGGATCTATTCCGACTAGGCTGCCATGAACCATCCTATCTTCTACACCGGCATTGTGCACAGGTGGGGCTGCTGGTGCAGGTCTAGGCGGTCCCAGTGATTCCTGAATGGAAGTAAGTGGCACGGCCGCATTTCGAAAAAAGACAGATCAACAGCTAATTTGCCATGCGCCGTTTTTCAATTATCCACTCAGGAATTGTTTCAGGTGTGATCGTTGCTCTCGGGTCCGATTTTAATCCGAATGCATATTGTTTTGCTATGCCAATGATTATGCATTTAGGTGAATGTTAACTTATCCATTTACTTTTCTGGCCTTCGTGGACTACATTAGTTTTGTTTCGTTGAAAACTATCATTTTACTATATTTTTTCCGCTAAAATACAAGATCCCCATCGAATATCTTCTACAATGTCGTGCCAATCCATCTGCGTCACCAAAACTTGACGCCTTTTGAGCGACAACAGACAGGTTACTGTATTAGCATGACCAGCGTCGTTGTGAAGGTTTTATACATTATACGAAGTTATACGAGCCCCTTACTTTCATGGATACAGTTCCAGAGCGTCTATCAGCTGAATAGTCGACGACAGACAGTCTACAGATGAACAGTCTAGCCCTAAACTTGTACTTTACCTGCTTTACACTGTAGTGATTTTTCGATGAGTTGTTGTAACGCGGACGACTGGTTGATACGACGTCACATGCATATGCTTGACAATGGCATGGTGGTTCCGATTCCGTTTAGGACAGACATCCCCTCAGCCCCTGCCCCCCCCCCACCCCGACCCAGAGGGAGATAACATAATTGATAATAGACTTAGTAGAGCTATAATTGATGTAACCATTGACTTGTCCCCGTACGTCTTTACCTGATCAGTAAGGCAAGGGCACAGTCCTTTAGGGCTCGCCATGTTCTTGACTTTAATAGGACTGGAATTGTGGCGACACTTGGTAGGTGTTCATCCTGCATGAAGGCAGGTAAAAGAAGAAAGTTTGATGCATTCAGTCTGATCGAATTCTTTTTGGTGTGCGCCTCGCATGCTACCTCTAATCAGAATCGTAGTGGCACTTCGAGTACGATTTGGCAGTGACTTGCCGGCCGATGGGTAAATCAGTGTTTAAAAGGTACGAGTCGGAATTAGGTCCCAAAAACCAGTCCCTTCTAGAGTAAGAGAGAGGGTCCCCCAAGGGCAGGAGGCGCGACTCTGTTGCGACTCAAAAATGCGAAGTGACGGCGCTAAGGCCTTGCCTTGTGTGCCGCTGTGCTGCCATTCGTATCAATCACAACATGCATGGTATCTGCGCCTCTCGCGTTCGAAGTACTTCTATTAGGTACCGGATATCTTAGTGTCGCTTTTCTGAGTTCAGGAAGTTTTGGGGCCGATTACTATGGAAAATCAATATCTCAGAAAGTCCTTTTTGCTCATTAATACTGCGAAATATGTTGCTTATTGTTTTCTATTGTTGGTTCACAATTTAACTTTCCCCCAATTTTTATACTTTTTTTTGAAAATTCCTGGGTCCAGTGTGCAAATTCGCATGTGTGTACCAAATGCTTCAAAATTCTTGCTGAGAGCTACAACTTCCGCCCACCAAACCAACATTGCATTTGTTGGAGGGAATACTACCATTTAAAATGCTCATCGGTTTTTCACAGTTTTCTCAAAAGACAGTGAAGTCTTTGAAGCCCGCAATCGTCGTCAAAAAGGTGGCCCTAGTTAAATCAGTCGAGACGGGGCTGCACCAGTCTTGTGCTGAAATGGTAGGACACCTTAGCAGTGACTGATCGATGATGCACAAAAAGGCAAAAGTCGGGCTCAATAAGGGGGTATTATGGCGATTGAAACTGAGTATAGAGATGCGAAGTGGAACGACAGTGGAGAAAAAACTGAGAAAAACCGTCGACAAGGCCGTTAACAAAACCCTCTTTCCCACTAGCAGTGAAGGAGGCTGGCTTGGGAAAGAGGCACGTACAAACAAGTTTTCTGGAGATGTCAGTCGTTCTATCGGTTGATACGGCAATCAACCTAGCTGATTTCACACGTTATGCCAGCCACGCACCACTTCCGGAGGTGGGCGGTCCCTGGATTGAAACCGAACGCCCCGGGGCCTTAACGGGGTTTTTCAAGGTGGGAAGTTGCTGCAATGTGTGCAGCTACCCACATACAACCTCCAGGCACGGGAATTACTTCTCTAGCGTGCCTGAGCCCGACCTTTGCCTTTAACGAAGTTGATTACAAGAAATTCTAATAAATGTGCTCATCTGCTACTCACGTGTGCTCAAAAAGGGTGCGTTTTTGACCCTATGTGGCAAAAAAGACTCCGGGAAAAATTGTCCAGTTGAGCTGGTAAGTAATAACTTTTCCACCATACAGTGCAGACCCTACTCTAACTAACTGTATACTTCTTTTGTCCAGGCCTAACTTTTAGCAAGTGAGAGGGATGATTTGTCAGATGATGTCAAAACCGACCTACCTCTCTTTTTCGACTCAAAAAATTCTAGCTTTAATCGTACGAGGTTTCCACTCATACTGGTAAATGGGAAAGTGCTAATGAGTCATTCGATGAATATGCTGTTTCACTCCCCGGATTCTGAATTAAAATATTGGTGGTCCGAAACTCGTGGTGAAAAAACGACACTAAGATATCCGGTACCTAATAGCTCGCTTCTCCACTCTCTTCGCAGCGCTGTGTCTCTCCGTCATACCACGGCTGGCCTCTAAGGGAATTTAGTGTTTTCTATGGTGCTTTTTGCTTTTTCTCCTCACTAGTGTTCCTCATTGCACCCCTTGCCTAATGTTTGAACAAAATAGTGCCTCATTTCAATCCTAACTCGTGCCTTCAAACCTCCCAGACGTGACCGGTACCAATTGACTGATCCCAGAGGGACGGATGGCTTGGTTGGTGTGGACAGCGTAAAGTCCCCACCAGCACAGGGTGACCCCCGGACAGGATGCATGGTGAGCGGCGCTACTTGCTACTGCACCAGCCCAATGATGACAGATAGTAGAGGGAATTGGAACCGGTGCTAATGCATGTATCATTATCTCTAATTAGTCCAAATCTAGGGGACTGATTTATTTATTATTTATTTATTTATTTATTTATTTATTTATTTATTTATTTATTTATTTATTTATTTATTTATTTAATACACCTGAAAGGGTGTGCACACGATGGACAAACAGAGTTGTAAAGCTGAGCGATCCATGATACAAAAGTAAAAGCCATTTAGGTCTTACACTGTAGCCGGTGATAAGGGCCGCACTCACCATCCGGAAGACCGAAAGGTCCCTGACGAGATCCTTGTCCCTCGTTCGGACGCTTTCGAGTCAGCAGATCTGAGGAAGAAGTAAACCCTGGTAGCTGAGCAAGATCTGATCCTTATTACCGTACAAATGCAATCATTCTCCACACCACTGTTCTACTTCCCTCCTATATACCCTATATCCTAATACCACCACTTGACCCAACCCTCGACTTTCCATCCATTATGGTTACAGCAACTTTGCGCAGCAGCAGTTTGTTAGAGCTCACTTTCGTTGAACCTTCCGATCGTTCGTCAAAGAGCAGTAGGGATTTTATTGGTTACTGGTGACGCCAGAAATATCGATGGTACAGGTAAGTCATAGAGTGGAGTATTTTGATGAAAGAACTGAAAATATCAAATGGATTCGATTGGGACTCGAGCAACGATACTGAACTGGAATTCATTCCCGGTACTCAACACCGCCTTACAAAAAACCACCCCCAACCAATATAAAGATGTAGGGGCGCTTTAGTGAAGGTGGAGAGCGCAATGGTCTGAAAGTGGAACAGAAAGCGAAAGAAACTATTGAAAACTTTCAACACTGGCTTCAACTTCCTGACAGGTCGGTCGTGGTACGACGGAGAGACACAGAACACAGAGAAGCGAGGAAAAGCGAAATAGCATGCCGCAGGAGAGGGCAGTACACGGTCGCTGCAGAGCAAGTGATAGGTGTACCGTTTATGACCACTAATCGGGAGCATTAGGAAGGTCCTAGTGCTCCTGTTGGCCACTTCCGAGCCGTATGAACCGCTCACTGGTAAACATCACAAACAGCTTTATCCTAGACATCGACCGCTTTACCCCAGTGGGCTAATTAAGGAACGTGGCTTTTAACATTCCCTTCTAACTTGACAAATTTCAGCCTGCGTCTACATGCACATGAGTATGGAAGAAGCACTAGTGGCGGCTACACTCAATGCTGCTCATTCTCTAGGACGAGGTCGAACTCACGGCGCAATCAGTGTCGGTCGTCAAGCTGACTTCGTAGTACTCGACGAAAGTGTCAGTTCTTGGAAGCACATCATATACAGGTATGAGAGTCTGTTGAATTTGTAAAGACGCATTTTTCATGCAAATGCCTTGTGCCGCTGTGTGTTATGGCGTACTTACAGAGCAGTACTCCCTTCTCTGAGCTGCTGTTTAGGTATCAAAAACTGGTGCAAACTTTATAGAACCGGCGTGGTGCGGGTTTACGGACTACTTGAACTTTCTTCCATGGTCCTGCCACGAATGGCGGAGAGCACAGACAGTTAGAGAACGGCGCCTGGCTCGGCTCCAAATCCCAGGAAGGAGGTGAGAGCCCTAGGACTAAGCCTTGTAGGAGGGAGGGACTTCGAGGTGGGTGAGCCAACTACAGTGTGGCAAAAGTTTGAATGTGTGTGATCACAATGGTCATGAGCCGCTGATAAGGTGAGAGAGCGCAGACGAGAGATGGATCTGAGGCGGCTTAAAGGACCGGGTTCAAGTAGTCCGTCAATCCGTGGCGCGTTGAGGGGCGCTAGCGCTCGTGCACGAAATCACAAATCTTGAAGAACAAGTGCATGGAGGAGGGTTGGGGTGGGGGGGGGCAGGCGTCTCGGTGCAGAGTCAGTGCAGCAACAGTAACCAGTTTTTCGCAGGAGGGGAAATCTACGGGGTGTGAACAGCCATTCTTATGCAAGAAGAGGCTAAGCAAGTATTAAAATGGACATGTTCGTTGTGTTCTCGAATTCCTTAGGTGCTGGTGTCCCTCCCAACTACAGTTGGGACATTTGTCCTTTTGTTCACACACTTGTGCAATTGCAGAATGGCAGCTCAAGACACAGTGATTTCGTGTACAGTGAAGGCTGGACGAATTCATCATGTACTATAGGCAGGTCGGATCAAAGTGACTGATCTGGACATGAAGAAAGCCGGAGCTGACTTGTCGATTGATATTTCTGCAGTTTACCTCTGCTTCTTTTCTACTTTTCATGTTCCTCACTTTCTTAGGTTCTTTTTTTCCTCTTTTTTCTATCTTTCTTTACTCTCCTTGAGTCTCGTCTAGTGCATGGAAAGCGGTGCAACTGTTGCTGCAGCCTACAGAAATTCAATTTTCGCGGGGGGGGGAGGGTGGTGGGGGGGGGCGGGAATTTAATGTGCGTGAACATGCTTCCGCTTTAGCACAGCGAAAATCTCTCACCTGCGGAAAGTGATTCTCTCTGATGATACTACTTGTCACCTCTCCCCTCTTTCTCTCCACTCCTATTTAGTGGTTTGTTGTGTTGGCGTTAACGTAGTTGAGGGGGGGGGGGTGAGCACGTGGCGGCGCGGCGTCTGTTCGTCTGCGCTCTCCTAGACTTAGTCTTGGATGGGCCTAGACCTAGGAGAGCGCAAGACTACCTCGCCGCCGCAAGGCAGCTTCGAAATACTGCGAAACTAAGCCATAGAGGCGCAGACGGTCAAGGCGCCGCACTCGCGTGGTCCCCCTCAACTACGTTAGCACCGTTGTGTTCTTTTACATTGAGCTATACTGGAACTTCCTTCTATTTCTTCACTACCTTTTTCATATATCCCATATTTGAGCTTTGCAACTTTACCTTTCTTTGTCTCTCGGCAATTTCACTTTTTATAATCATTTTTATTTTCCTTATTTTCTTATCAAACAGTGTATGATTTGTATGATTTTGTCATGTTTCTACTATCAAATAAATGGACAATAGTTCTAAGAAATGAATCAACCGTGCTTTCAGCATCTTTTTCGTTATTATTTATTTATTTTATTTATTTATTATCATTTAGTATTGCACTCGAGGAGCGCCTAAGACAATTGGCGTGGATATAAATGCAAAATTGACTGCTACAACACAAAAACTAGAGTAAATAGACAGAGGTGAACATTAAGTCAGGTAAACATTTTGACCACTTCAGGTGAGATTCACTTGTTGAGTGATGAGTTCACTTTCTAATCCTGATCTTACGGTCATCTGTCGGATTTTCCAAATGAGCCACGCCCTTGTTGCTGGTTCCGACGATAATATTGCTGATTCAATTTCCTTAGTTTACACAAAATTAACAAACTCAGTTGCTTTTTGGAAGTCAAATGCAGTGATAGCAACTTCTTTGCACAAGGTCCGTAGATTTTTGAATGAAATGCTGGAAATTCTAAGAGGTAATCAGGCTTGTGCGGGAAGAAATGCGAGTGGAATCGCAGGATGGCGCGTGCGTGCAGTTGATAGGATCGCTGGTGAAAAGTGATAGGGTGGCGGACGGACTGATAGCTATGTTTGGAGACGGGGTTGGCCGGAAGGGATCGTTTTACCCTGTGCTTGGCATATATGTATGATCATTAGCCGCCACAAACCATGGGACTTCCCTTCACACCGAAAAAGGTTTGATAGTATTAGACTTTTCCCTTGGAACAGAAGTGGTACTTGAAGACAAAGTCCTGAAAGAAAACCCCCACAAACTGATGTCGAATGGTAGAGAGGTCAAAGGCAGCGATTACGATAAAGTGGGAGCGCATCGGGAAGCATATGCACCACACGAATCAGTTACTTGGCTGCCAGGGAAGCGAGGTGTAGCGCTTTCACGACGGAAGGTTCGCTGGTTGCTGAGCAGGACTTCGAAAGCACTCCGCCCCCAAAAGCGATCCGCCCACTAGTTTAGTTGGTGATTACCAAACGCGTTGCGCTTGCTCGTTCATACGCCCGCTTTCTGAGCTGTTCACCTGTTCATGAGTGAAAACCAACGGCCAAAAAAGGGGTCCCATTTTGCTTTTTTTGACGGATTTCTCCGCTTTTTTCGCCACCGACGTACCACTGAGCACCACCACGTCTCCTTAAACCCTTCTTGAACCTATCGTAATCGCTGCCTTTAAATGAGCTCTGGCAACGGAAAAGCGGGGAAAACGGGAAGAAACCGTCGACAACGCCGGAAATATTGTATAACCCCTATTCCAGTAACAGCAAAACGAAGCAGCACTGATTTGTGGGCGGGCTCAGTGATGTTAGTGAGTGGGGACGATGCTTCATCTTGGGCCTTGGCGCCTCGGTTCTTGCGTGCCGCTGCACTTCTATCAAAACTAAACTTGATTTCGACCAGAAATCCCGACCTTGCCTTTAACGGTTTCTGCAAGTTATAGCCTGCGTCAAAATGTCAAAAATTAAATGTGCGCCCTTGAATGTCCGCGAGGTTTTAGTAAGAAGGGAAATGTGTGTGCCATGCTGGAAGGATCGATCTATGTCAAGCACTCCGCTCGTGAAGATGTAACCCACCGAGCCACTCTGATGAGTATTTGGGGCACGCGGAAATATATTGACTTCGCTCGTTTGACATCGGACGAACTGTCAAGGAGACTCGTTACAGACCTAGTGATAACTGAGATGCGGAATAAACTGAAAGTGGAAACAAAAACGAAATCATTGGAACGCTAAATTAAGGCCTTAACCTTCAAGGTCGGATGTGGTACGATGGCGAGACAGGGCGATCAAAGAAGACAAAACACGCGAGAGAGCACGCCGTTCGAGAGAGCACGCTGATCTCTACATCAATCGCGGTGGGTGGGAAGCGTTGCAAGGGGTCGATGGTTGCAGGCCCGTAAGGATTAGCGCCCTAACCGCGCAATTTTGCGAAGCTGGAGTGATCTAGGTAGGTACGGACCTTACAATTTCCCTCGCGGTATCCTTCCTACTAGTCGGGCTAATCCCGGGTTTGCCTCTGAACAGCTCCCTATTTCTACGATCGCAGGTAAAAAAAAAGGATAAAGCATTTGCCGTTGATCAATTGGGATGCGGCACGCATTCTACTTCCATTTGTACATTCGTAGTGGCGTTTGAATGCGATGTGGCCTATACAATGACTTGCGGGGGCCAGCCGATGTACAAGTCAGTGTTTTTATCCTCCCAGACAAGTCTGGTACCAATTAACCGACCCCGGAGGGATGGAAGGCTTGGTTGGCCCGGGCGACTCACGACCCAGGATTGATTCCACTACACCACTTCCGCCCGCGTGAAAAAAGTGGAAACGGAAATGTCTTGACACCAGGGTCAACCGTTCCGTTCGAATGCTTCGAAGAAGGGTCGCATTCTTTGGTGGAAGGGGTCGGCAGTTTTCGAGGAGCCAGCAACAGCGCGGTGCCTGCGTGGTGGCGTATCAGGGCAAGATTGCTTGGCGACGCATTTAGATCGAGGTTTATTATGATCAGAGAGAGGTAAGGCAAAATTATAGTGTTTTAATGAGGATAAAGGAACAGTTGGATGGATCCCTAGGGAAGGTACTACAAACCCAATGTACTGGCCGAGAAACAACTAAGCAAATATCACGTTTGCACTCCTCGCGGGGCTGAAAACAAAGTTCTTTGGAGACCTATTTTTTGGGGACGCTTCTTCCAATGTACTGTGAAACATGTAAGGAAGCGGAAATCTCGTAGTCTTCAAAAATGTCTTTATCCCTCTCCAACAAGCTCTTTGAAGGAAGTTATCATTGCTGAAAGCTCAAAAACTCGCATGTGCTGCTCAAAAACCTATGGGAAAAAAATGTTCGAACGTGTGATTTTCTCGAAAAATGAACTTTGAAAAACGGTTTGGAGCTTAGAAAGAGCAAATCCTGTACTTTCACCCCATGAAAAAGTGCATCACAGAAATGAAAATGAAGTGAGTTATGGTCGCTGAAAGCCCAAAAACTCGCTTTTGCACGGAAAAATGTTCGAACGGGACAATTTTTTGAAAAAGGGGACAATCACTAAACTTTTTATACTGTTTTGTTAGAAATATTTGAAGTTTCTGAAACTTTTTACAGATTTCCAAAATGTCGCATACGAAAGATTTTATGGGCCTTCAAAGTTGAAGGTGCGCCTTCTTAGAATTTTGGGTTTTCCACTTCTAACAGAAGTACTTTCCGGAGAGTTAGGCAATCCTTGTAGTTTTCTGAAAGCGCACCTCAGGCACAATCAAAATCTACCTCAACAAGTCAAAAAAAATACGTCCCAAGAAAGTTATTCCCCTCTAAAATTTTTTCTTCGCCGCGTCCCGTTCTTCCAGCGCCCGGGTGATACCTGCCGCGCTCCAAGGCCGACGGCGACGCAGCAACGCTTTTTGCGGCGGCGCTTGTTAGCGCACGGAGTTATGTCTAGCACTTTCTTATTACAAGAGCAGGGATCGGAAACTGCGAGCTGTCAATAGCTAGGGGGTCTCAAAAATCCCGAAATGTTCGATCGTGACGGTTGACCCTGCTTGACACTAGCATGCAAAGGCATGGGTCACCGTTGTATTCAATCCAGATGAGCCAAGTATTATATATATAGATTTTGAAAGATATAGAGAACTACCGAAGGTGGCCAGCATAAAAGGGCGACAGTGGTGTAGGAGTGAGACGCTTGGCACAACGCGATTCGGGGACCGAATCCTGCTCCATGCGTGACCCAGTGTCAACAATGCCTTCCTATCCTCCAGAGTCGGTTAAATGGTATCAGATTTGTCTGGGAGGATTAAAACACTAATTCGTTCATCAGCTGGCCCCCGGAAATCATTGTGTAGGCCAGCATGGTTGGTAGGGAACCCGGAATGCGGCGCGGCGCCTCATTGTCGCTCCATTCAAATAAAATGATCTATTTTCCTTCAATGGAACGTCCTACTTGGTATGGATCGCTTCTTGTTCCTCACATCTGCGCTCGAGAAGGATGAAAGCCCAATTCGAAGTGGCTGGGTGGAATTCTACCAGAAAGTATAATAGTTTAGCTAAGGCGTTTCTACAGGTTGTTATACCCGAGTTCGTTCACACTTCACCGTAAAGGAGGCCCAAAAGTTCCGTAGCGCTCATTACTTTGCTAAGTGTTTCGTAATAGCCGTCTAGTAATTCATGGAGGCGTACTCCATAGAAAAAAATCGAACATGG